TTTTTTTTTTTTGATAAAATAAATAATATTTGCGTATGGAACTAAAGAGCCGCAGCTTCACATCCAAAGAGCCGCATGTGGCTCGCGAGCCGCAGGTTGCCGACCCCTGCATTGCACTAATTGATATAACAATTTCAGATACATTTTAAAACCATTTTATTGCAATTCTATGAAACACTTTTTATAGATATGATGAATAGATATGAATCAAGATCATAATAAACACTTTTAATTAAACCTAACGATTTCTCAGTTAAGTTAATTTCGTTATCTCGAATTTCTGGATCATTAATTAATTTATCATTCAGAGATTTTGTTACTTTGTACAGTTGTACAATGGAATCTCTAATATCATTTTTATTAGCTTGTCGAATTACATGTTTCTCAAGTGCTTCAAAAATATGTTTTGCTGGATTGTATACGTTCTTAACGTTTTCCTTTGTTACCGATTGGTAATCTTCATCTAGTTTCTTGGCTTCCTCAGTCAAAGTGTTTATCATACCAGCAATTTCTCTGCTGTTTAATTGTGTGAATGGTTTAGTATACATTGTTCCGATCACGGGCATATGTCGCATGAAATCATCCATACTAGGATATTTCTTGTGTTCAATAAATTCTTCTTTGCTTATGCATTTATCGCCTTCACAATAATACTAGAAAGAAAATTTCTCGTAAATAATAATACTTTTATCTATATCATATAAATAACACACACACACACACACACACCTTTAATGTTAATTGAATACAGATTTGAAGATTTAACTTGTAATCTATATAAAATATCTTTAGGAATCATAGTACTTCAGGGAGAAGATGTTATTAAGAAGAATCCAGGAAGAAGTAGTAAAGTGAAATCCTGAATTAGTAAGCAACTTAGAGATAAGTTTAAAAAATGTAGAGAAAAATAGAAGTAACAATGAAAGAAGAAAATAAATGAAATTCACTTTTCTAATATTATATTACGAGGAGGTTAAAGAATTTTTTAAAAAATAAGCTAGAATTCCCTGCTATTTAACAATTTACAATAATTTTTTTGTATTTTTAAATATATATTTTCTATGAAGAAATGAAAGGAAGAAAGGAGGAAATTTTATAAATGCAATGATAAACTCTAAATCTATAGACAATCTTTAGTACTAACTTATGAAGAAAATATCTAATTTAGTATAATGTATTTAACCATTTACTTAATTACAAATTTATTTTTTAACGTAAATTTCTAGAAATATATACACTCTTTTACAACTTAATTAGTACAGTACTTGGAAAACTGGAAATCCTCGTAAACCGCTATTCTTAATTGCTATCAGCTCATTGTCATAAATTAAGCTTACGTTCCTGGAAATATATATTATTATTATATCATTTGTAAATTTTTAACCCTACTTTTATCATTCAACTGGTTTCTAAAAAGCGACCCACCGCGTTACATAATTACTATAAGATTAGTATCTTAAATTTAGATTACTTTCTCGGAAATGATACTTCATAAAAATGGCCAACTTTTTTCCTATTCTTATCGCTTTAAGAGAGATTTTATTATACTCATCGTAAAGTCTATTCTGGCCATTATTTTCGATCGTGCATTTTGTAATGAGTATAGAATAAAGGCCACAATTAATGGTCAGGTGAAGAAGGATAAGACAGACCATTTCTAAAAAATCCGAATTGTTTTTGACCGCCTTAAAGCAGGATCTACTAAACTTCGAACACTATGTACATTTATCGAATAAATGACATAAAATTACTACCTTTTCTGGTACCTTTCCGCTTTTTTTCCATACGAACCATCAAACAAGCTGATAACTGCAACGTAAAAGAAGTACAGTACATTAAAACAACCCTTCAACGTTCTGTCTTACCTTAAAAGCTACTTACCAAAAATTAAGAATAGAGGGAAAGAAAGAATCATCTTCATCGTCAGATGCGTAATTGTGATCTACGTGTTTACTCGAAAAAATTTATATAATTGCCACGTAAACTTTTAAGTGGCTTGTCAATCATGGTTTCCAGATGTATTTATCCAACTGTACTTGCAGCAACTACCTATACCCTTCTACCATTTATTATATACTTTAAAATATATTTATTAATAAATAAAATGAAAATGTTTTCAAATTATAATTAAAACTGTATGATTTTTTAAAGATTAAGTTTATCTGTTTAATTAATTCAAATACGTCAATAAAGGACCATCAAGTTATTGCAGTGTTATAATGTCAGTGATTTATGTGTTATTACCATTAAAATTTTAAAGAAATTAAACTTAACTGTAATAAAAATATAGGCTTATATTTTATTCTCTGTTTATAAATGTCCCGTGTACAGTTATGTTAACTGCAAATTCGACTTTCATGACTAAAAAAGAGTAGTTAAATCAAATTTGTGGCAAACATTAAGCAAACTAATTAGTTTAAAAAGTTTGATTAGTTGTTGATTGTTGTATATTACATATGCAAACGTTCAAGTAGTGTAATATTTTATTATATGTATTCAGTAAAATGTACTGTTCTCGTCGTTGTACCGGTGTCTCATCGCCATATTACTTCTAATAGTATGGCGATGAGTAGGGTTTCTTTCCCGAGATTCCCTTCGTTTATTCCCTATGGGAAAAATCCTGGGAAACTTTTTTTCCGGGAAATCTCTCATTTCAATAATTTATCATATCAGGTTTTCTTTCTATCATTTATTATACGAAAAGTTGCATCTTGAAGTCTCAATACATCATTGCGTGTTTGCGCATCATTGAACATCGGAGCACTCGCTGAAAGTAAACATTACTCATCGCAATTTAGTTTCGAATTCTCATTTATAAGTTAAGGAATTTGTTAAAGCTTACATTTCCATTTATATCCTATTATTTGTAACTGTAAGTGTGAGTATTTGAAATTCCTATATTAAAATTTCTCTCCGTTGTGTGTCGGCTTGGGTTGAATTTTTGTCGATGCGTAACGAAAAGTTCCCATTTTTTGAAAAAAAAATAATTGTGGCTATTGTATCGTCCGAAATTATTTTTTTATGTAATGCGATTGCCGAAATATAAGCAATTGAAAAGTGCAACGTTTTTACATCAACGTTAAAAAAACATACAAATGCGACACGTGTCAACAATGCCCCTCTTTAATAATAAGAACGAAACAATTTAAATGGAATTGTCTGCGTTATACATTTATTGTCAAACGATGAATTATACAGTATTTGTATTTATTTATTAACTCAAAATCACAAAGATACACCAGATAAAATCGTTTCTGTTTGCGGTAAAGATGAGATTACTATTTATTATTAAGAGTATTTTCTGAGATTATTTTTTTATTTTGTACAAACAATATACAGTTTAACCCGACACTAATTTTGTTTAGTTCTTTTATGAGTTTGTCTGCGTTTTTAATTGAACNATTTATGTGTTATTACCATTAAAATTTTAAAGAAATTAAACTTAACTGTAATAAAAATATAGGCCTATATTTTTATTACAGTTAAGTTTTACGTGTCAACAATGCCCCTCTTTAATAATAAGAACGAAACAATTTAAATGGAATTGTCTGCGTTAACATTTATTGTCAAACGATGAATTATACAGTATTTGTATTTATTTATTAACTCAAAATCACAACGATACACCAGGTAAAATCGTTTCTGCTTGCGGTAAAGATGGGATTACTCTTTATTATTAAGAGTATTTTCTGAGATTATTTTTTTTATTTTGCACAAACAATATACAGTTTAACCCGATACTAATTTTGTTTAGTTCTTTTATGAGTTTGTCTGCGTTTTTAATTGAACTCATAAAAGAACTAAACTAAATTAATATAGAAGAAAAGTATAGAATAGCATGCCTCGACATAGTTGATATGTACCCATCAATAACTTGGGATCTAACAGAAGAAAAACTTAATAACCTAGACGTCAACAAAGAATTAATAGAATTTACATACAGATGTAACTATTTCGAAACCAACGGAGAATACTATACTCACATGGATGGGATAAGTATGGGATTTGCGATCGGCCCAAAACTTGCCGAATTAATTATGATAGAAATTGATAACATACCAGGAATAAAATTCTACAAAAGATGAGTTGACGACATCCTAATACATATAAAATGGAATACGAAAAAATCATAAACCGAACAAGCCAAGAAGCACATATAATTGAAGAAGTAATGGAATTAACGAAGAAGTTTCTTCTAGCAGGATTTCCGCAGAGATTGCTGAAACAATGGGAAATCTGACTTAATGACTCAAAAAACCTATGTAAAAAATAAAAATAAACAAGCAACTAAAACAAAATATATTAATTTCCCGTATATTAAGAGTCTATATGAACAAATCTGTGCAGAAATAGAAAGAATAAACTACAAATTAGCACTATCGTATCAAAAAAATGGAGAACAGACTGTTAACCTCGAACCAGAAAAAGGGAGTGAAAGATGAAAAAGGGGAAGGAAACAGCTAAAAATTTTTACAGTTGTATTGTATCAAAATCTACCTAAAAGGGAAGATTCCGGAAGATTTTAACCTTTTTTAATTTATAATGTATACTAGTTTATTTACAAAAGATTAAAGTATATTTTACATGAATTATACAAAGTTAACCAAAAGGTACGTCTATATATCGCTTATGTACTTATTCTTTTATGTAAATTCTCTACTGTAATAGTTTAAAAAAATAAATATTGTATTTTAGTTGACTGAAGAGGTGCAAAGCCCGAAACGAGTACAAAACAATGTACCGTAAATGTATAACTAATAAAGGAATTTGATGGAAAACTTGCCACGTGTCTTTGGAACAAAACACAATACTGCTGTACTGTATACTACGCCACAAATATAAAACAGGACAGGGTTTCAAAAAACAAAACTACAAATTCTGTTTATATTTAACGTTACTTGTATTAATAACTGGTACAAAATTAAAGCGAACGTCATTTTTATATTATTGAAAATAAATAATTAATTAATTAGTAATATGAATTTTCAATTACATTTATTTTCTAATTTCATAATAACTAAAACTTAAAATTTACCTTCAAAGTTTAAAAAATAGTTTTAAGAAAAAAATTCAGGAGCCATTAATTAATGATGAATTAATTAATAATTTTATTTTAAAAATATTTATTATTTAATTACATTTTATTTTCGAAAAATATTACGTAATTTATGTAAATGAAGACTCGTTAAAAGTGAATGTTTCGTATTCATTTATTTTTATATTTTTAAACGATAATGGCTACAATAGAGCAGATTACAGAACAAAAAGGTCAAAGAGGTAAACAACATATTTAATATTTTCGGATGTAAACATAATTTAACTACNGTCAAAGAGGTAAACAACATATTGAATATTTTCGGATGTAAACATAATTTAACTACATGTAGTTTTAATGTGCTATATTTTTATTATTTTTTTAAAGGTAGAATGATAATTAGTCAATGCAGAATTTGTTATCGCCAGGCATGGAATGATTATTATGGATGTGAGGCGTGCAAACGTTGTCTTCAGTTTGTCTTCATAACAATCATCTACAGACGTTGCTACAGATGCCGTATGACTAGTAACTGCAAGTCGGTTTATAAATGTAAATTTTGTACTTTACAGACATGTTATAAGAATGGTTTAAAACCGATGAAGTTTGGAATGCATTCTCGAGGATATTATTTAAAGGATAAAGAAATTCTGCTACATAAAGTTCAAACTAGAGTAAGAAACTTGCTATTAATAATTATCTTAAAGTTCTGTTAGAACAATAGAAGTTCGTTAATGCGGTATTTAGGAAACCAGAATGGTGTGTGATTACTGAATATTCAGAGACATAACTACTGCTAAGAGCGGTTAAATTAAATGACGTCCATGAGAGTTTGTTCCTCGTTTTACGAAACAGATTTAAAATTAGTAATTTAAATTCCATTACCATTTGAACGTAAGATGCCCTTCAATGCTTAGAAATCTTTACTATATTTTACTTTGGAGTCTAAAATATCTAGTAATAAGCAAAAATATTTGCAGTGGGGAACACTGCACGTATTTTTGTATTTTCGCAAAATTCAGAAAGTTTCGTTAATCTGAACATTGGACGTGTTGCCTGGTTAAGCGGCTTTAATACATTTGGATGAGCAAAGCAATGACATTGTCGATTAGAAAGCCCGTTTCATTTAACACAGGCGTTTTAATCGACTTGATAGTCCATATACACCAAAGCTGCTTTATTTGGCAACGCGCCCATTGCCGTACGTTTTACATCAGCAAACGTTGCTATATTATTCTGATTTAATCATGCGCACTCTTCAACTAGTCTGGACTTCATACAGTGCATGACATGATATTGTGCCACACTCGATTCCACCCAAGATCTTTTACATACCACGCGTGAATTTTCCATTTGCGAAACACTGCCATTCTCAGATTTCCCGATTATGGGCTGCCAGATTAACGAACTTCTACTGTAAGTAGTCAACGTAATTTAATTTACTACATTTTTTTTTTTAAGGAACCGAATGAATTTAACTTACTGAAAAATATCATCCTAAGATTTAAACTTTTTCTCCTCAGAAGACTGAATGATGATTTTGTATGGATAATAGAAAATATTCCGATAACAGCATCAAACAGAATGGTAGTTTTTAAATTAATAATTTAAATTTAGTCTGTTTTAAGAAGTGTTAATAGAAACAAGTCCTTAACTGCTTTTACAGGTACACTTATATCAGATGAAAGCTATAATCTTGCATATGGTACAAGAATCACTTGGTGCTCACGATGTTCTAAAACTGGAAAATTATTATCTCGATCCGTACAAATGTGAAATCGCACAATTGCAATACTTGACAATAAAGATTTTGAAACTAATGCGAATGATGAGAGAGAGATTTACCATTGGAATAATTGATTTAAATACGAAGATTCATTTAATATATTTTGAAGGTATTTACTACTCACATTAAAATATTTCTTTTCATAACTTAACCTAAATTTAAAGCTGCTTAATATTTATAGTTAAATAAACAGTAGTACTTAAACTAATCAAACTCTAAGGTTAGTGAGAGCAGGAAGTAGAGTTTTTAGAGAAGAGCAGGAAGTAGAGAGAGAATTTTTACTTTTCTTACTATATTTAGTAAGAAACTTATTTTGTTTTGTAGTGAATTATTATTTTAATTTTATAAATAATCTTGAATAATAAAAAAATAATTTTCAGGGCCAAGAAAGTATCGCGTTGTACATGACGAAAAGCTTCATCAGCAATTAACAGAGATTGCTTTTTGGATGAAAGTCTGCTTCAGATATTTAGAAGACTTTTCTTAAATGCCGATTGTTATAAACAAGTGTAACTTTTAAAAGACATTTTTAATGAATTTTATTACTTTGTTTTATTATAATTGATTTAGGTATTTCCTGACATTTGGTACATGTTTCGATATAATTCAACAACAATTACCAACAATCGTCTGATTTTATTGAATATATTAATGACTATAATAAAAGTATTTATATTATACAAGTTTATAGTTTACTTAATTCTATGAACATAAGAAAGGTACATCTGTTTATTTTTAAATAAACTGCAATCAAATAATTACTTTCCCGACTGTTATACATAACAGAGGGAAAGTAAAATGACCTCCACAGAAGATTTTTACATTCGTCAGCTTAGGATATCCTGAAACATCTAGAACAGCAAAAAATTTCGGGGGTAATTTCTGTATGTATAAAATGTTGGTGTGTGTGTGAGAGAGATAAGCACGATTTTGTTCGCCCTATTTGAAGATTAATAACTTCTGTGCTTTTTTCTCGAAATTCTCTTTAATTTTGCTATATGGTTTGTTTTATCTGGGCATTAGTCACCTTAAATTTTGGTAGTTAATTAAAGGTCGAATGGGTGGGATGATAATGGGGATCGTGTGTATCTTCAGTAGGGCCAAACCTCGTGACAATTTTTTTTGTTATTAGCATTTAAAATTTTATATCGAACTCATCCCTACCCTCAAAATTAATTTTTTTGCTATTTTACAACAGTTAATAAAATCTTTTATATTTTTAAAATGTCATAACAGATGGCGCTACCAAATGTCTCGGGAAAGTTAAGCAACTCGTTGCTGGATTTTCTATTTGGTATGGCGAAACCATGATATTACTGTATTTTAATAATAAGAGGAGGCGCTGCATCAATGTGAAGTGAAGTGGAATTTTTCAGCTCATTCTTTTGATCGAATTACAATTATGTATTTGTACTGTGTTATATATTTTGTGAAAGCGTTTTACTTGAAGACCAAGAATTCGTCAAGTTTGTTAAATTTGGACGCTCCATTACAAAGTAACACGCTTTTAATACTTTGTTTAGATTTATTCTAATTTCGACTTTTCAATCACCATAGCAATGGCATTGACCTATTAGTAAGGAACTTCCTAGAACAATTACACGAAGTTGCATTTTCTACGTTTCTATACATAATTTCATAGTCATATTATTATGTATTTTTAGAATCGTCTCGAGCCAAAGAAGACGATACAAATGTTTTCAAGTTAATTGAATTAATATTTTACTTTAGAATAATTTTTAAACCTAACATTCTGAATTAATTAAATAAATATCTTATTTCTTCTTTGTTCGATATGGAATCGGAGAGAAAATTATTTTATGATTCTGCTAACAGCATTCTTGATGAAATAAAAAATTATTTCATCAAGAATGCTGTTATAAGGGGTAGACCTGGGGTGGAGTGCCATTTGACTTATATCTTGACACAGTTGAATTCTCGTCATTGCTGTACACTATCTGACCAGACAAAAAACAACTTTAAAATGTACAGCCTCATAATATTGGAGTTGGAATAAAACGTGTTAGAAAAATAAATAATGGTGCAGTTGCTGTTGATTTAAGTTATCAAAAAGAAGCTGCGCACTTGAAAGAGTTTGTAGACAGAGTCCCAGGTTTAACATCCCACGTGCCTAAAAAGAGATTGCCTTTAATCAAAATAGTGTCCGCTCTTTCAATTGTTAGCGAAGAAGAACTTATTGAAGATATATATGAAAAGAATACACATCTATTTGAAGATATTTCTTTTCGCATACATGCTGAACAGATTAAAGTTATATTCATCACTTTTTTGTTTTAAGGAGAATCTGTTTCCTGGTTGATTAGAAGTGTCTTCTGATATAATAAAAAGAATTCTTAAAGAAAAGAAAGTTCATACAAGGTGGTCAACCTATAGTGCATATGATTATATTCCAATACTGCAATGTTTTCGATGTTTGTTGTTTGGACACATAGCGAGAAATTGCCCTGCATCTGAGAACATATGTAGCCATTGTAATGAGAACCATTTGTTTAAAGACTGTACCAAAAGGCATGAAACACCAAAATGTGAAAATTGCCTGAGGAAAAATAAACAAGAAAATCAAAATACAATGGACAAAATGTGTTGTACATATCTTGAAGAAAGGATAAAATACTTAAATAGAATTGACCTTACATAACACAATTGTTCGATTACGAATTTAAGAATGCGAGGTAACTTTGATAGAAAAGAATTTATCATATATTTAGTGAGGTATATTTCTTCAGGTTGTATTTTGTATTTAATTTTATGTATTGCATTTCTTGTATATAGTTTTATGTACTGTGTTGTAATATTTTGAATATTATTGACAAAATTTTTTGAGGCTTGTTCCTCAAAGAACCTCCCTGTTGCATTGTGTATCTTTAGGTATTTCACAATGTCGCGACGTTTTCGTTTTGTGTATGTTGTTTTATATTATTCTTGTAATTTGTAAATGTTTTATCATTTCTTATGTGTTAATCTTAATTGTTAATCTTATTTTTTTTCTATATAATATTTCAATTATATTTATTTACTGTATTCACTTTCTTTGTTTCTGGATTCACTTGGCTGTGTGTAAACGGCGCCAAGTATGTACTAAATTTTTGTATGTTTTATTAAAAGAATCTGAAAATGTATTTTAATAATAAAATTTAAATTTTAAGTTAATCGAGGTGTGAANATTGTATCGTTTGGCTGTACAATATTTATATTTGAGGAGGAGATAAAATTTTTTTTTATTATTAGAAATACGTACAAGTTTTTGATTATTGATTTGGTTATTACTTTACAATTAGATAACTTTTGTTCGGGTCAATTACCCCATTATTATTTTTGTTGTTAATAGAATTAAAGTTTATCTTTATTGTTCAGTATTGTCTGTGGTTTGTGGAAATTATTGGTTTATTTAAAGTCCAGGCCTGGTACTTACCCCATTATTATGTAACCTATTTTTGTTTCCGAAAACGGTGCGTTACAGTATTGTAATCGTATGAAGTTGGACTCTCCGACATTTTTGCAAATCTCGAACATTGTGCGATCCCTTGTACTAAAAATATAAAAATAAAGGAGGCATTCCATATATATGTTAATGTGAATCACCGATATCTGGCGAATGTCAACATTCTCCGGTGAATGTCAGCATTCACACAGTCGTTTAGTGTATGTACGAAATATTTACTAAATATCATTATTTCTCACTTACACCGGCAAATGTCGACATTCGGCATGCACTGGTAGCGAATGTTGAATAAAAATATTTTTATTACGTTAAGACAAAAATGCAACTTTTTAATATGTGAAAATAGGTGAAAGCTTAAGTAACAGAACATGTAAATAAACCGTTGAACCTAAAAAGAACAGAACATTCTTAATCATTAAAGAAAATAATACAATAATAAACTTACACATAAATTATGTGATTATCGTTATACAATCTTATTTATTGCAACAATTTAAACTGTTATGGCACTTTGAATTGCACAAGAGTCCCTTGCTTTTACAACTGCATTTATTCGTGGAACACTTTGTTTGCAATGGCAGCGGGTATAGCCTTGCCCTCCAATTTTCGAATTAGTTTCAGCTGCTTCACTCAGCGATATTTCTCGAGAAGAAATCTCATTTATGGAAAGTAACTTTTCTTTACAAATTACGAACTGATTACGTTATTACGTGATTACGAACTGATTACGTTATTACGTGATTACGAACTGATTACGTTATTACGTGATTACGAACTGATCTGTTAATGGCGTATTTTATTCAGATATCGCAGACGCCTTACCGACGACCCCTCTCATCCTCCGCCTCTCGACCTGACAAACCGATCCCCACCTCACGGGATCAAAAGAACAAAAACGCCATCCAGTGACAAAGTGAGCAGTTTCCACCAAACTGTTGCCGGAAAAAGAGATACGACCGTGTGCTACCGCCGGCTATCCAGAAAATATTTGACGATAGACTGTCGCCTCTTTCTCGACATAGGCTTCTCGGGTGTCGTTTCGACCTCCACCAAAGCTTATCTGTGCTTGTCGACATACACCGGCGATTGTTCGAATGTATAATAATATAACCAAATATTCGGACTTTCACCTACGTATTTTGTATGTGTCGACATTCACCGGAGAATAACGATATTCTCTAATTTCGGTCTTTCACAGTAACATACACATATGTACAGTATAATGTATGAATGTGTATTGGCATTTATTTCTAATTCTTTTCAATAAATCAAATTTAATGAATAAATTGCTGCACCTTCTTATGCATTTAGGTAGTAATTTAAAATTTTCTCTTGGCATAATAATTTATCATTATTTCATGAGTTTACAGAATATTATAGAGCTTTTTATTACCAATTTCCTGGTTCGTGGGGCTCGCGCCTAACCAATTGATAGCCACGTAGAGTTTACCACTTTTTCTTCACGTGTCTAATAAGTAGGGTGCAGTTTACCACAGAAAGTCCTTGCGAAAGACACCTCCTTTAGCAGATTGCCCGAATATTGAGTTGCCTTAATTCATCAATTCAGTCCAATCTACAGTTCGTATATTATGTATACAATAGAAACTCGATTTTCCGAATTTGATAGGACACCAGTAGTCAATACAGAAAATCGTTTATTATTTTTTTTATTTTATTTTATTATTACTTTTTTATTAGTTTCGGTTTCATCGTCCACAGTACATTTAAAACATTCGTAAGCAATAAATACTGTACTATTCGAAGGTATTGTATTATACTCTGTAGTATGTACAACACTGCAGATTATAGATTTTTAAAAATTGTTTCGGATAATCGAGTTTCCACTACATTAAACAATTTCAAATACATTTTTTTAAACCATTTTATTGCAATTCTATGAAACACTTTTCATAGATATGATCAATTAATCAAGATCATAATAAACACTTTTAATTAAACCTAAGGTTTTCTCAGTGAAGTTAATTTCATCATCTTGAATTTCTGGATCGTTAATTAATTTATCATTCAGAGATTTTGTTACTTCGTACAGTTGTACAGTGGAATCTCTTACATCATTTTTATTAGCTTGTCGAATTACATGTTTCTCAAGTGCTTCAAAAATGTGTTTTGCTGGATTGTATATGTTCTTAACGTTTTCCTTTGTTACCGATTAGTAATCTTCATCTAGTTTCTTGGCTTCTGCAGTCAAAGCGTCTACCATTCCAGCAATTTCTCTGCTGTTTAATTGTGTGAATGGTTTAGTATACATTGTTCCGATCACAGGCATATGTCGCATGAAATCATCCATAGTAGGATATTTCTTGTGTTCAATAAATTCTTCTTTGCTTATGCAATTATCGCTTTGACAATAATACTAGAAACAAATTTCTCGTAAATAATAATACTTTTATCTATATCATATAAATAACACACACACACCTTCAATGTTAATTGAATACATACTTCAAGATTTAATTTGTATTCTACATAAAATATCTTCAGGAATCCTAGTACTTGAGAAAGAAGTATTATGAAGAAAGGAAGTAGTAGTAAATTGCCATTCCTGAATTAGTAAGCAACTTAGAGATAAGATGAGAAAATGTGAAGAAAAACAGAGGTAAAAATGAGAGAAGGAAATAAATGAAATACGCTTTTGTAATATTATATTACACAAAGTCAGAAAGAAAAAAAAAATATCCATCCTAAATGAGAATCCAACTTGGACACTTCTGAAAGACGGTGGAATGGATGAGGCGATTAAATTAAAGTAATTTTTTAAAATAAGCTACGATACCCTGCAATTTAACAATTTACAATATTTGTTTTTTTGTATTTTTAAATATATATTTTCCATAGCCTGTTTTGTAAATAAACCAAGTTCTACCCAGCAAGTTACATCAAAGTCAAGACAAACAGAAAGACCAATCAAGCAAAGAGAAGTTTCTGCATCACATGTTTCTGACAATAATTCTATACCAAATATATCAATTTTTNACTGTACTATTCCAAGGTATTGTATTATACCCTGTAGTATGTACAACACTGCAGATTCTAGATTTTTAAAAATTGTTTCGGATAATCGAGTTTCCACTACATTAAACAATTTCAAATACATTTTTTAAACCATTATATTGCAATTCTATGAAACACTTTTCATAGATATGATCAATTAATCAAGATCATAATAAACACTTTTAATTAAACCTAAGGTTTTCTCAGTAAAGTTAATTTCATCATCTTGAATTTCTGGATCGTTAATTAATTTATCATTCAGAGATTTTGTTACTTCGTACAGTTGTACAGTGGAATCTCATACATCATTTTTATTAGCTTGTCGAATTACATGTTTCTCAAGTGCTTCAAAAATGTGTTTTGCTGGATTGTATACGTTCTTAACGTTTTCCTTTGTTACCGATTCGTAATCTTCATCTAGTTTCTTGGCTTCTGAGTCAAAGCGTCTACCATTCCAGCAATTTCTCTGCTGTTTAATTGTGTGAATAATTTAGTATACATTGTTCCGATCACGGGCATATGTCGCATGAAATCATCCATAGTAGGATATTTCTTGTGTTCAATAAATTCTTCTTTGCTTATGCATTTATCGCCTTCACAATAATACTAGAAAGAAAATTTCTCGTAAATAATAATACTTTTATCTATATCATATAAATAACACACACACACACCTTTAATGTTAATTGAATACATATTTGAAGATTTAATTTGTATTCTACATAAAATATCTTCAGGAATCCTAGTACTTGAGAAAGAAGTATTATGAAGAAAGGAAGTAGTAGTAAAGTGCCATTCCAGAATTAGTCAAGAACTAAGAGATAAGATGAGAAAATGTAAAGAAAAACAGAGGTAAAAATGAAAGAAGAAAATAAATAAAATACGCTTTTGTAATATTATATTACACAAAGTCAGAAAGAAAAAAATGTCCATCCTAAATGAGAATCCAACTTGGACACTTCTGAAAGAAGATGGAATGGATGAGGCGATTAAATTAAAGTAATTTTTAAGAATAAGCTACGATACCCTGCAATTTAACAATTTACAATAATCTTTTGTATTTTAAAATATATATTTTCCATAAAAATATGAAAGGAAGAAATTTTATATACGCAATGATGAACTCTAAATCTATAGGCAATGTTTAGTACTAACTTATCAAGAACATATCTAACTTAGTATAATGTATTTAACCATTTGCTTAATTACAAATTTATTTTGTAACGTAAATTTCTAGAAATATATACACTCTTTCACAACGTAATTAGTACTTGGAAAACTGGAAACCCTCGTAAGGCGCTATTCTTAATTGCTATTAGCTCATTGTCATAAATTAAACTTACGTTTCTGGAAATATATATTATTATTATATCATTTGTAAATTTTTAACACTACTTTTATGATTCAACTGGTTTTTAAACAGCGATCTAGCGAGTTACGTAATTACTGTAAGATTATATCACAAATTTAGATTACTTTCTCGGAATTAAAAATTGCCAACTTTTTTCCTATTCTTTTCGCTTTAAGAAGGGTTTTATTATACTCATCGTAAAGTCTGTTCTGGCATTTATTCCCCATCGTGCATTCTCTAATGAGTATAGAATAAAGGCCACAATTAATGGCCAGGTGAATAAGGATAAAACAGACCATTCCTAAAAAATCATAATTGTTTTTAACCGCCTTAAAGCGGGATCTACTAAACTTCGAACACTATGTATATTTATCGAATAAATGACATAAAATTGCTACCTTTTCTGGGCCCTTCCCGCTTTTTCTTCCATACAAACTATCAAACAAGCTGGTAACTGCAACGTAAAGGAAGTACAGTACATTAAAACAGCTCTTCAACGTTCTCTCTTACGTTAAAAGGTATTTACCAAAAATTATGAATAAAGGAAACAAAGAATCAACTTCATCGTCAAATGCTTAATTATGATCTACGTGTTTACTCGAAAAAATTTATATAATTGCCATGTAAACTTTTATAAAGTGGCTTGTCAGTCAGGATTTCCAGATGTATTCATACAATTGTATTTGCAGCACCTATACCCTTCTACCATTTATTATATTCTTTAAAATATTTTAATTTTATTTATTAATAAATATATTTTAAAATTATAATTACAACTGTAAGATTTTTTAAAGATTAAGGTTATTTGTTTAATTCATTTAAATACCTCAATAATGGACCATGAAGTTATTGCGGTGTTATANCATTCTAGGATTAGTCAGGAACTTAGACATAAGTTTAAAAGATGTACAGAAAAATAGAAGTATAAATGAAAGATGAAAATAAACGAAATTCGCTTTTTTAATATTATATTACACAAAGTCAGAAAGGTGAAAAATGTCAATTCCGAATGAGAATCCAACTTGGACACTTCTGGAAGACGGTGGGATGGACGTGGCGGTTAAATTGAAGTAATTTTTTAAAAAATAAACTACGATTCCCTGCAAATTAACAATTTACAAGAATTTTTATGTATTTTTAAGTGTATATTTTCTATGAAAAAATAAAAGGAAGAAAGGAGGAAATTTTATACATGCAATAATAAACTCTAAATCTATACACAATCTTTAGTACTAACTTATCAAGAACATATCTAATTTAGTATAATGTATTTAACCATTTGCTTAATTACAAATTTATTTTGTAACGTAAATTTCTAGAAATATATACACTCTTTCACAACGTAATTAGTACTTGGAAAACAGGGAACCCTCGTAAGGCGCTATTCTTAATTGCTATCAGCTCATTGTCATAAATTAAGCTTACGTTTCTGGAAATATATATTATTATTATATAATTTGTAAATGTTTAACACTACTTTTATGATTCAACTGGTTCCTAAAAAGTGATCCAGCGAGTTACATAATTACTGTAAGATTAGTGTCATAAATTTAGATTACTTTCTCGGAAATGATACTTCATAAAAATGGCCAACTTTTTTCCTTTTCTTTTCGCTTTAAGTGGGATTTTATTTTACTCATCGTAAAGTCCGTTCTGGCCTTTATTCCCCATCGTGCATTCTGTAATGAGTACAGAATAAAGGCCACAATTGATGGCCAGGGATAAGACAAACCATTCCTAAAAAATCCTAATTCTTTTTGACTGCCTTAAAGCAGGATCTACTAAACTTCGAACACTATGTACATTTATCGAATAAATGACATAAAATTGCTACCTTTTCTGGTCCCTTCTCGCTTTTTCTTCCATACGAACTATCAAACAAGCTGGTAACTGCAACGTAAAGGAAGTACAGTACATTAAAACAACGTTCACTCTTACGTTAAAAGCTACTTACCAAAAATTAAGAATAGAGAGAAAGAACGAATCAACTTCATCGTCAGATGCTAAATTATGATCTACGTGTTTACTCGAAAAATTTTATGTAATTGCCCAGAGCCGTAACTAGCCATTCCTGGGCCCTGTGCAAGAATTTGCATTTAGGCCCCTTAATTTATTTGGTTTTGGGAAAATAATAAAACAAATACATTACAATAGATTTTTAATAAGATTTATTTTAATTGAATTTTTCTGGCTTCGTTACACCTTCATAATTAATATTTTTAACGATATTGTATTCTATTGAAATAATAGAAATATTGGATAATCGTTTTTGTCCGCTAGTTAATCTTAAATAATTTTTAAGTTTAACTTGCTAAAACTTCTCTCGCACGAAGCAATAGAAACGGGAAGAGTTAGAAATATTCGAAAAGCGACATTGACAGTGATATTTGGGTAAGACTCAATTAAACCAAAATCATGAAGAACCTGTAGAATATTAAGCGGAGATGCAGTTTCTATATTTTGTATAAGAGTCGTTACTTCAAAATTAAAACTTTTAATTTCACTTGTGAAGTTACTTTTTTAAATCTTTGCTATATTTAATAGCGAGATCTGCAGCCGATTTTTTTAATCAGCAACACTCGTGTATTGTAAAGACGAGCCACAGAGAAAGCAAAAATCGTCACAGATAGTTTTCATTTTTTCATAACGCCGATCTATTTGACACAATAGAGTGTCAAGANGTTAAAAGCTACTTACCAAAAATTAAGAATAGAGAGAAAGAACGAATCAACTTCATCGTCAGACGCTAAATTATAATCTACGTGTTTACTCGAAAAATTTTGTATAATTGCCACGTAAACTTTTATCAAGTGGCTTGTCAATCAGGGTTTCCAGATGCAATTTATACAATTGTATTTGCAGCAACTACCTATACACTTCTACCATTTATTATATACTTTAAAATATATTTATTAATAAATATAATTAAAATATTTTAAAATTATAATTAAAACTAAGATTTTTTTAAAGATTAAGTTTTTCTGTTTAATTAGTTCATTCATTTAAATACCTTAATAAAGGACCACGTAGTTATTGCAGTGTTATAATGCACTGGCATTATAACACTGCATTTATGTGTTATTACCATTAAAATTTAAAGGAAATTAAACTTAACTGTAATAAAAATATATGCTTATATTTTATTCTCTGTTTATAAATAAAGAAGACAGAAAATATAAATGTCTACAACTATATAATACTACAGCAAAAAATACTAGACCAACAGAGGAGAGACCGAAATGAATACCTGGATTTAGCATAATTAATAAAAATTTTTGTGGTGTGTCAATATCCATATCTAATGGTTATTACAGCAAATTTTATAATTCAAAGAGAAAAGCAATTCTCTTTGCAGGGATCGTCAAGTGTTAGATAGAGCAAATGTCGAATGGCGCACGCTAATGAATGTGGCATAGACAAAAGGTCAGTTGGAGATATAGCTGAAAGATCAAGGGCATGTAATCTGTGAAAGGGGTTTTAATTAATTAACTCCTTCTGAGCCGCGCTCGAGTGTGACTCGAGTAACATATACAAAATTAAAGTAAACGTTATTTTTTATATTATTAATAATAATTAATTAATTAATAATATGAATTTTCAATTACATTTACTTTCTAATTTCATAATAACTAAAACTGTAACATTTACCTTCGAAGCTTAAAAAACAGTTTAGAAAAAAATTCAGGGGCCATTAATTAATGATGAATTAATTAATAATTCTATTTAAAACATATTTATTATTTAATTAAATTTTACTTTCGAAAAATATTACGTAATTTATGTAAATGACTCGTTAAAAGCGAATGTTTCATTTTGTTTCGAGTGTTGTTTCGTATTCGTTTATTTTTATATTTTTAAACGATAATGGCTACAATAGAGCAGATTACAGAACAAAACGGTCATAGAGGTAAACAACATATTGAATATTTTCGGTTGTAGACACAATTTAACTACATGTAGCTTTAATAGGCTATATTTTTATTATTTATTTAAAGGTAAAATGATAATTAGTCAATGCAGAATTTGTTATCGCCAGGCTTGGAATGATTATTACGGATGCGAGGCGTGCAAACGTTGTCTTCAGTTTGTCTTCAGAACAATCATTCATAGACGTTGCTACAGATGCCCTATAAAGGGTAAGTGCGAGTCGGTTTATAAATGTAAATTTTGTACTTTACAGACGTGTTATATGAATGGTTTAAAACCGACGAAGTTTGGAATACATTCTCGAGGATATTATTTAAGGGATAAAGAAATTCTGCTACGTGAAGTTCAAACTAGAGTAAGAAATTTGCTATTAATAATTACCTTAAAATTCTATTAGAACAGTAGAAGTTCGTTAATGCGGTATTTAGGAAACCAGAATGGTGTGTGATTACTGAATATTCAGAGAGATAACTACTGCTAAGAGCGGTTAAATGACGTCCTTGAGAGTTTGGTACTCTTTCTACTGAACAGATTTAAAATTGGTAATTTAAATTCCATTACCATTTGAACGTAAGAGGGATGACATCCAATGCATAGGAACCTTCACTATATTTTACTTTAGAGACTAAAATATCTGGTAATAAGCAAAAATATTTGCAGTGGCGAACACTGCACGAATTTTTGTATTTTCGCAAAATTCAGAAAGTTTCGTTTAATCTGAACATTTGAGACATTTGGCGTGTTGCCTGGTAAAGCAACTTTAATACATTTGGATAAGCAAACCAGTGACATAGCAGGTTCATTTGAAACAGGCTTTTTAATTGACTTTAATTGAGCTGCTCTAACAAGCAACGCGCCCATTGAGGTACGTTTTACATCAGCAAACGTTGCTGTTATTATTCTGATTTAATCATACGCAGTCTTCAACCAGTCTGGACTTCATACAGTGCATGACAGTGCATGGACTTCATACAGTTCATATTGTACCACACTCAATTCCACCTAGGATCATTTACATACGACGTGTGAAATTTCCATTTGCGGAATACTGTCATTCCGCGATTTCCCTATTATGGGTTGACAAATTAACGAACTTCTACTGTAAGTAGTCATCGTAATTTAATTTACTATATTTTTTTCAAGGAACCGAATAAATTTTCCTTACTAGTCATCCTAAGATTTAAAAATTTTCTTTACACAAGACTAAATGATGATTTTGTATGGATAATAGAAAATATGCCGATAACAGCATCAGACAGAATGGTAGTTTTTAAATTAATAATTTAAATTTAGTCGTCTTTAAGAAATGTTAATAGAATCAAGCCCTTAACTGCTTTTACAGGTACACGTATATCAGGTGAAAGCTATAATCTTGCAGATCGTACAAGAATCACTTGGTACTCACGATGTTCTTAAACTGGAAAATTATTATCTCGATCCGTACAAATGTGAAATCGCACAATTGCAATACTTGACAATGAAGATTTTGAAACTGATGCGAATGATGAGAGAGAGATTTTCCAATGGAAAAATTGATTACGAAACGAAGATCCATTTAATATATTTTGAAGGTATTTACTATTCACATTAAAATTTTTTTTTTCATATCTTAACTATGAACAATAAGCAGCTTAAATTTAGGTTAAATAAACAATAATATTTAAACTAATCAAACTATATGATTAGTGAGAGCAGTTAGTAGAAGTTTACATTTTTATACGAGAAAATATGCTTTTACTTTTGCTTACTTTTAGTAAGAAGCTTTTACTTTTCTTACTATATTTAGTAAGAAGTTTGTTTTTGTTTGTAGTAAATTATTTTAATTTGATAAATAATCTTGAATAATAAAAAATAATTTTCAGGGCCAGGAAAGAATCGTGTTGTTCGTCACGAAAAGCTTCAACAGCAATTAACAGAGATTGCTTTTTGGATGAAAGTCTGCTTCAGATATATAGAAGAATTTTCTTAAATGCCGATTGTTGTAAACAGGTTTAACTTTTAGAAGACATTTTTAAAGAATTTTATTTCTTTGTTTTATTATAATTGATTTTATATCGAGATATTTCTGACATTGGTACAGATTTCGATATAATTCAACAAGAATTAGTAACAATCATCTGATTTTATTGAATATGTTAATGACTATAATAAGAGTATTTAAATAAACTTTAAACTTGTATACTATAAAATCTATGTACATAAGAAACGTATATCGCTTTTTAAAATAGATAGCAATCTGTTAATTACATTCCTGGTTGTTATATATAACAGAGGAAAATTAAAATGACCTCCACCCAAGATTTTTACATTCGTCGGATTAGATATCCTAAAACGTCTAGAACAGCAAAAAATTTTGGGGGTAATTTCTGCATGTATGGATGCTGGTGTGTGTGAGAGAGAAAGGCACGATTTTGTTCACCCTATTTGAAGATCAATAACTTCTGTGCTTTTTGTCGAAATTTTCTGTAATTTTGCTACATGGTTTGTTTTTTGGGGGGCATTAGTCACGTTAAATTTTGGTAATTAAAGGTCGAAGAGGTGGGAAGATAATGGGGATCGTGTATATCTCCAGTATTGTCAAATGTCATGACAATTTTTGTTATTAGCATTTAAAATTTTATATCTAACTGATCCCTACCCTTAAAATAATTTTTTTGCTATTTTACAACAGTTACAGTAGAGCGTCGTTTATTTGAATCAATTGGGGACTGGGGTTGTTCGGATAACTTATTTTTCGGATAACCGATTATGTACGATAAAATATATTAACCTATCCCGTGTTGAAATTTTTCTCCGTTGCGTGTCGCTTTGCGTTGAATTTTCGTGGATGTTAAGCCTAACGTAAACTTTTTAAAATAATAATCGCGGCTATTGTATCGTTAAAAATTATTTTTTATGTTTTACAAACGAAATACATTGAAAAATATAAAAACAAATAAAAATTATACTTTAGGCCGACTGGAATTCTTTCGGATAACCGACTTTCGGATAAACGACACTCTATTGTAATAAAATCTTTTTATATTTTTAAAATGTCATAACAGATGGCGTTACCAAATGTCTCAAGAAAGTTAAGCAACTCGTTGCTGGATTTTTTATTTGGTATGGCGAAACCAAATAAATTATTAACCAATTATTAAAATATTACTGTATTTTAATAATAAAATTTAAATTTTACCATTTTTAAAATGTATCACGGGAAAGTATTGTAATCGTATTAAGTTGGACTCTCCGACATTTTTGCAAATCTCGAACGTTGTGCGATCAGTGGTACCAAAAAAATAATAATAAAGCAGGACATTCCATATATACGTATCTATTGTGTATGAGTGTGTATTGGCATTTATTTCTAATTATTTTCAATAGATTAGATTTAATGAATAAATTGCTGCACCTTCATATATATCTAAGTAGTAATTTGGCATTTTTACTTGGCATAATAATTTATCATTATTTCATGAGTTTGGTAATAACTTCTATAATAATCTATAAATTCGTGGTTCGTCGCGCCTAAACAACGAATAGTCACGTAGAGTTTACCGGGTTCTCTTCACGTGTCTAACAATTAGGGTGCAGTTTACCATAGAAAGTCCTTCTGGATGGCACCTCCTTTTTACAGATTGCTCGAATATTGAGTTGCCTTAATTCATCAATTCAGTCCAATCTACTTTTCGTATATTGTGTATACAGTAGAAACGCGATTTTCCGAATTTGGTGGGACCAGTAGTCAATACAAAAAATCGTCTATTATTTATTTTATTTTATTTTAATATTACTTCTTTATAGGTTTGGTTTCATCGCCCATAGTAAATTTAAAAAATTCGTAAGCAATAAATACTGTAGTATTCGAAGGTATTGTATTATACTCTGTAGTATGTACAACACTGCGGGTTCTAGATTTTTAAAAATTGTTTCGGATAATCGAGTTTCCACTACATTAAACAATTTCAAATACATTTTTTAAACCGTTTTATTGTAATTCTATGAAAGAGTTTTCATAGATATGATGAATAGATATGAATCAAGATTAAAATAAACACCTTTAATTAAACCTAAGGTTTTCTCAGTGAAGTTAATTTCGTCATCTCGAATTTCTGAATCATTAATTAATTTATTATTCAGAGAATTTTTTACTTCGTACAGTTGTACAGTGGAATCTCTTACATCATTTTTATTAACTTGTCGAATTACATGTTTCTCAAGTGCTTCAAAAATATGTTTTGCTGGAGTGTATATGTTCTTAACGTTTTCCTCTGTTACCGATTCGTAATCTTCATTTAGTTTCTTGGCTTCTGCAGTCAAAGCATCTACCATACCAGCAATTTCTCTGCTGTTTAATTGTGTAAATGGCTTAGTATACATCGTTCCGATCACAGGCATATGTCGCATGAAATCATACATAGTAGGATATTTCTTGTGTTCAATAAATTCTTCTTTGCTTATGCAATTATCGCATTGACAATAATACTAGAAACAAATTTCTCGTAAATAATAATACTTTCATCGATATCACATAAATAATACACACCTTCAATATTAATTGAATACATATTTGAAGAATTAATTTGTAATCTACATAAAATATCTTTAGGAATCATAGTACTTGAGGGAGAAGAGGTATTAAGAAGAATCCAGGAAGTAGTAGTAAAGTGCCATTCTAGGATTAGTCAGGAACTTAGACATAAGTTTAAAAGATGTACAGAAAAATAGAAGTATAAATGAAAGATGAAAATAAACGAAATTCGCTTTTTTAATATTATATTACACAAAGTCAGAAAGGTGAAAAATGTCAATTCCGAATGAGAATCCAACTTGGACACTTCTGGAAGACGGTGGGATGGACGTGGCGGTTAAATTGAAGTAATTTTTTAAAAAATAAACTACGATTCCCTGCAAATTAACAATTTACAAGAATTTTTATGTATTTTTAAGTGTATATTTTCTATGAAAAAATAAAAGGAAGAAAGGAGGAAATTTTATACATGCAATAATAAACTCTAAATCTATACACAATCTTTAGTACTAACTTATCAAGAACATATCTAATTTAGTATAATGTATTTAACCATTTGCTTAATTACAAATTTATTTTGTAACGTAAATTTCTAGAAATATATACACTCTTTCACAACGTAATTAGTACTTGGAAAACAGGGAACCCTCGTAAGGCGCTATTCTTAATTGCTATCAGCTCATTGTCATAAATTAAGGTTACGTTTCTGGAAATATATATTATTATTATATCATTTGTAAATTTTTAACACTACTTTTATGATTCAACTGGTTCCTAAAAAGCGATCCAGCGAGTTACATAATTACTGTAAGATTAGTGTCATAAATTTAGATTACTTTCTTGGAAATGATACTTCATAAAAATGGCCAACTTTTTCCTATTCTTTTCGCTTTAAGAGGGATTTTTTTATACTCATCGTAAAGTCCGTTCTGGCCTTTATTCCTCCATCGTGCATTCAGTAATGAGTATAAAATAAAGGCACAATTGATGGTCAGGTGGTGAGAGATAAGTTAGACTATTTCCAAAAAAATCCTAATTCTTTTCGACCGTCTTAAAGCAGAATCTACTAAACTTCGAACACTATGTACATTTATCGAATAAATGACATAAAATTACTACCTTTTCTGGTCCCTTCCCGCTTTTTCTTCCACACGAACCATCAAACAAGCTGGTAACTGCAAGGTAAAGGAAGTACAGTGCATTAAAACAACGTTAACTTCAACGTTCTGTCTTACGTTGAAAGCTACTTACCAAAAATTAAGAAGAGAGAGAAAGAACGAATCAACTTCATCGTCATATGCGTAATTGTGATCTACGTGTTTACTCGAAAAATTTTGTATAATTGTCACGTAAACTTTTATCAAGTGGCGTGTCAACCAGGGTTTGCAGATGTATTCATACAATTGTATTTGCAGCAACTACCTATACCTTTCTACCATTTATTATATAATTTAAAATATTTTAATTTTATTTATTAATAAATATATTTTAAAATTATAATTAAAACTGTAAGATTTTTTAAAGATTAAGGTTATTTGTTTAATTCATTTAAATACCTCAATAATGGACCATGAAGTTATTGCAGTGTTATAATGCCAGTCATTTATGTTTTTTTTATCACTAAAATCTTAAGAAAATTAAACTTAATTGTAATAAAAATATAGGCCTATATTTTATTCTCTGTTTATAAATGTCCCGTGTACAGTTATGTTAACTGCAAATGCCATATTCGACTTTCATGACTAAAAAAGAGTAGTTAAATCAAATTTATTGCAAACATTAAGCAAAATAATTAGTTTAACAAAGTTTAGTTAGTTCTTCATCGTTGTATATTACATATGCAAACTTTCAAGAAGTGTAATATATTATTATATATATTCAGTAAAGTGTACTGTTCTCGAGGTTGTATCGGTGTTTCATCGCCATATTACTTCTAATAACATGGCAATGAGACACTGATACCTCCACTCAGTGTCAAATTCGTTTTTTAAAGAAATTTGAATTTCACTGGTAAAATACATATAAATTATTAATGTATAGAAAAAATTTCTATTGAAATAATATTAAGCAAAGTTAATCCATTGTAAAACTGTATAAAATAATTGAAAAAACAAGTTACTAATTTTGTAACTTTGCTTAAAATTGTATAAAATGCGTACAAGTTTTTCTTCAGGGAAAGTTTAACTGTTTGTAATATTATAGCTATTAACAAAATAATTAATTATTAAAGAATTTAACAAATATTAGACTATAAGCTGTAGCAAGTTGGTACCATCTTCCCGACGCCATATTGAAACATTTCGTGATAGTTTGCGCTAAAATCGCTTTTACATATTGCTGTTATTTTACTAAAAAACGTTCCATTTTTCTAAACTAAAATTGTAAATTATAATTGACAGTTAAATATTTAAGCTTACTTTACAATAAAAATAGTAATTACTTATATTTTACTTATAAAAAGTTTGTGCTTAATTCCAAAGAACATACAACCAAAAGAGAATAGCAAGCAATCAAGTACTAACTTGCCATACAATTTTATTTTGGCGACAGTTTATGGTCTGGGCACCAGAGATTCGCCAAGACGCGTTTCTATCAGCCAATAACAGTTCATCTGGTAGTCACGTGAGAAAATACAATCACGTGGTGTTTTAATGGCGGAAATTCGATGCAGTTAACCGAGATAACTAACATCAGAATAAAGAGGAAAGATAATAAATTTAACACAAATTCTACACAAATATTCATATATAATTTAATTCAAAGAACAAAACAACCGAATCTTACTCGAAATAGTATTCTTTATCGAGGAATAAGCGTATTTTTTACATAAAGAACTGGTCTTTATCAATCCAAGAAAATATCACTAATCCAAAATCTTCGTTCGAATCTTCGACAAAATCTTCTAACTAAATAAAGCATGCCGTACAAAACAAAATTTGTAAACACGTGGATAGCGACAATATCGGTATCGTTCGCCATGTTGAATACTGAACGCATGCGACGAAATGTAAGAGGATTGCCGCCGCGTGGCGACACCGCTTTTCCTTGCCGCGCCGCATGTGTGCATCCAGCTTAACTGTGTACCAAATTTCAAGTTTCAACTCCTAACCGTGCTGAAATGCTCACGACGAAATACTCCTATACACGCGCGTTATCAATCGTAGGATAAATGTACTAAGCCAGAAATCTTCGCGGGAGTGTATTAAAAAACTTCCCAAAGTTTCATGGCAATCGGATAAATGGTGTAGTAATGCATGAAGAACAGACGGACAGACAGCCAGACATACATACATTCATTTTTATATATATAGATTATGGCCAAACCCGTAACGGTCTATAACAGGGGCTGCAAACCTACGACACGCCTGGTAAGAGATGCACGTGGGCATCTGGCACCTTACCTAGCATAGAATTTCCATTCATCATCTGTCTTTTTTAATTATTCTTTTGATTTATCACCTGATCATCGTTATTTTCAATGAGCTTTTTCACATTTATTCCAATTAAAAGATATTCGTTTTATTTCTTTAATCTTTAAAGCTAAGTATGCTTACAACGTGGTACGCAGACTGAAGAATATTCACCATCCTGGCTATAAAAAAAACTAAGTAGAAACAAAGAGTAAAAGAACTGAAACACCTCGCTTAATAGAAAATAATATCAATTATTAAATTTTACAAAAATTGTTCTTAATATATATTTACAGTCGACCCCCCTATAAGATAACAGATACGTTCCATTTTTTAGGAATCCGATTTCTTACGAGTCGTTCCAATCAAAGCATGACATGTGTAAAGTTTACGGACTACGGCTGATTGAAAGGTTTTCTTCCATATAATTAATCGATTCCTAGACTAATTCGACTCAACATTTTCAAAACACGTATATTTTTTGGGAATAATCTGTATAAACTATGCTATAAACAAAAAATTGTAGGATTACTTACCGAGTATGCACCACTCGACAACCCCATTGCTAAAGTTTGTTTTCGTCGCGAAGAAGCCACGGCCGATTTCTAATAACTTATTTTTCTGCGAAAACTTCGTTGAACTTCGGAGTCATCATTAATATAAATAATTTTAATCGCCGTTGAATAAGAAATGTTTCTTTCACAAGAAATGTATAAAATTACAGTACTGTATTAGACTTACGGTACCTAATTTACATACTGTACAGACGATAGTTAGCGTAAAAATCTCCGTAGCGTGGCGCCACGCTAGACGGCGGAAATTATATATTTAATTANGGTTTTAAAATATTTATGTTTTTACTTCTTTTATTTCTTAATTTTTTCTATACTTTTTGCAAGGTTTATTTTTTAATTTTATAGTTTTAATAGTTTTACATTACGATTTTTACACTTAGTTATTCCAGTTGTCGCCATTACAGTTTTATCATTATATAAAAGACTGAATAGGGGCATTTGACCCGAAAATATATTTTATTTTATAAAAAAAAAAAAAATAGAAAATAAAAACTTAATAGAAATAATATCAATTATTAAATTTTACAATAAGTTTTCTTAATATATATTTATTTTCATAAGGTTTTCAGTATTCACGTTAACAAATTAATCATCGAATTATCAGACTAATAAGGAAAGGGTTGATGTTTTTATTTGCATTTGTATCATCTATGGAGGAAAGTATATTATTATATAATAGATTATTGAATTAATTATTTGTTATTTTTAATTGCCTATAAATTTTTATATTGTTAATTTTATTAAGAAATTTCTTACTAATCGGCTACAATAGTTTTGATAAAAAAGACAACAAATTAGGTGTTAGACACGTAAAGAAGACCCGGATAACTTTCCGGATCAAACCTGTTGGTGAAGCGCGAATCCTCGGCCACTTGACAGTTGTTCAGTGGTTTATTCATTCTTGAGTAATCCTTCTTTCTTCCATTCTAATCGGCTTGGTAGACTACCAACCCATTGAACTAGGGGAAGAGAAACAGACTTGACCGCCTATGAATAATTCCTGAAGTTCTATATCAAGACTTGGAAACATCCTCCGGAATGTCATTCTGGTGTGTCATCAAGCCATCAAAGTGAGCGTTAATATCATAGAGTTCGAAAAAAAATAAAAATAATCTAAGGAATTTATAATATTGTTTCAACACTGCCACTTAGCATGAAAATATACAAATATTCTTTATGCCTTGTTCAACAAAAAATTGGCACCATATTAAAGATTGTTATGCTCGCAATCTTGGATTTCTCAAAATAGAGTTTATAAAATACACAAAAGTTTCGGTTCAATACTATTACCCAATTGTTAGAAAATTTTGCCATACCTCTTTCAATATAACTTCCTTCTATAGATGCATTGTATGGATACTGACAGAAGCTAAACACTTCTATCAGCATCCATGCTACTGTCAATACTGTCCTAGAAGTGATTATTATGATTTTGGAAGAACTCCCTTAGCTCTGTTTCTTTTTCTGCTGCTGATGGAAGGTGTAACCCTGCATTTTAGAACAGTTAAGTCTGCGAAAGAAAAATCAGAAGGGTGAAAAAATTGGAAAAATTTCCAAACTTTTTCAATGTGTCATTTTCTTGGTCATATATTCGTAATTTAGGAATAACCGAAACACAGGAACAATGTTATGGTGAAGGTCACAGGACTACTCCTGCTATTGTAAGATTATTGTGTGGGAATACGGACGACGGGTCAAGACCCTCTAATCGTCAGATCTGACAAAGCCATTCATTGACAAAGTGAACGCACTTGAATGAATGGCTGAATGGCTAACAGAATTCGAGTGGGAGGTCGCGGGGTTTTGCAATGAGATGTCGGCAATTATAGGAAGACACTGAGGAGGTCATTAATAAATTCCAAATAAAAAATTTAATAAAGTAAAACAGAGAAAGAAATAAAATACAGTAATGGGGTAATATTTGGGATTTATTGTTACCTATTCACCGAGAGAGAGAGTTTACAAACAAATTATATTATCTCGTTGGACATCTTCCTTTCATGATATGTTACAGGCCGTAGAACGAACTCTATGTATCGTGGATAAAGACGACGTGGAGAGTGGTAGAGCTGGCACCGGACACTTGGATGGAAACAGCTTTCTAGGTGGCAATATCAATGTTTGGACGAACTGCCTCGAGCGAGTGAAAATATGCCTTTTTATCTCGATTTTCCCCCAATCACCACCCGAGAAATTCATCAGCTGACGGGAAGATCAGATGTGTTAATAGGCCAGATGGTGTGAGAAAATCGAGAAATGAAACTGAATTTCCCCTTTTTCTATAAAAGTAAAATTAGTCAGCGGTTTTTTTTTCAAGATGTTTACTTTTTGTATCTTTTATTACATTAAATAAAAATATTTAAAAATCAAAAAGAAAATTTTAGAGGATTTTCTAATTATTTACTTGGGGATTTAAATTTTAAGCAGATTTGTTTGGAAAATGATAGGATTTATTCAGCTGGTTTTAATTGCTTGCCCTACAAAGCAGAACTGTTAAGAATTTCAACGTGCCTTTCCTTATTAACATTCTGAACTCTATAAATGAATTTGATGTTTGCTCCTGGTTCAAATCTTGTTAATTCTTATCCGTCAAAATTCTCTATACAAATTCGATCCTACTGCGCAGAGGCATAACTAAGAAGGGCGAAGGTAGACACGTGCTGCAGGCATCGACTTCGAAGATTACAAAACGGATTCGTAGATTTTTTTTTTTTTAAATCTACGGACCCAGGGATCGTCAAGTGTTAGATAGAGTAAATGTCGAATTGCGCACGCTAATGGATGTGGCATAGACAATAGGTCAGTTGGAGATATGGCTAAATGATCAAGGGCATGTAATCTGTGCAAGAGGGTAATCAATACAGTTGTAAAACGACCTTCGTAAATGTTATATAATTTTTAAAAGGATTTGGCTGTAAGAGTGAGAGTTCAAAGCATTGTGGAAGCATTAAATTCTTAGAATAAGGTAATGCAATATTTGGACGATCTGTCTATTGTAAACTGAACCCTATTTAGGTGTTACACACGTGAAGAAAGCCCGGAAAATTTCACATGGCCAGCCCGTTGATCAAAAGCGAACCTGCGACCAACTACCAGTGTTTTGTGGTTTTATCCGCTCGGCCACTGCTAGTCACAAGAAAGTATTGAATAAGGGAAATCCTCAAGTTTGAGCCAATATGACATTTCATCTCTAGAATTTTCGGATGAGGGCAGACATCCAATCTATAATTTTCTGGTGCTCAGTGGAAGTATGAGCGCAAGTGTAGTTTTCTGTAATAGTAACGTACCGTCGAGAGAAAAGGACATGTGTTTTGAAGGCATTTGTTTACTCGTATAAATATGGACTTGAAGAAACTGGCACTCCTAAAAAGTTTTGTTTATATTTGACGTTACATCTATTAATAACATACACAAAATTAAAGTAAATAATAATAATTAATTAATTAATAATAAGAATTTTCAATTACATTTATTTTCTAATTTTATAATAACTAAAACTGTAACCTTTGAAGCATAAAAAACAGATTTTAGAGAAAAATTCAGGGACCATTAATTAATGATGAATCTATATATATAATCGAGACGGATTGATAATGATAATGATAATAATAATAGGCGCAGAGCCCAAACGGTTAGGAGTTCAAAGTTGAAATTTGGTACATAGTTAGGGTACGTCACGAAAACGCACACTAAAAAGGGATTTTTCGAAATTCCCCCCGGGGGAAAAAGACAGGATTAAGGCTTAACGCTTTCATCAACAATGGAAGTGTTACTTAACAATGGAAGTGTCAAGTAACAATGAAAGTGTTAAGTAACAATGGAAGTTTTAAGTAATAATGGAAGTGTTAACAATGGAAGTGTTATGTAAGAATGGAATTGTTAAGAGAAAGCGACGTGCAAGACGCAGATGCAGATTTTTCGTTTTTGCGGGAAATCGAACATATTTTTAGACCCATCTAAAAATTCTCTAATCAGTCCTGAAACAGGGGGACCCAATTCTTGCATTCGGTGAAAACGGGTAAGGTTGACTCTAACGTAATAATGTTAATCTTCCCTATCGTTACTTTTTCCCGAGCAACGTCGGGCCAACCTGCTAGGTAGGCGCGGTTTTGTTTGTATTACTTTTGCCTTATTCCATATAAATGCAGTTTATATGGCCTTTTGGTATTCTTCTTTTGGTAATCTTCACGTGGAGCAGAAAATAGAAAAAGGTACAAAGAATGGAAAGTCTATGCTAACTGCTTAGTATCCAACAATGAGAAGTACAGATCATTTAATAAAACAGGTTAATGCGACTGACAAAACAAGAATTTTTAGATTATTTGTCTTTTTCGGTATCTGATAGCAAAAGTTTATTTCTAAGGGACCGTCCATAAATTACGTAAGATATTTTGGGGTGGGTGGGTGTCAAGGACTTCTTACGATTTCTTACTCGGGGGTAGGGGGTAATAGATCTCGTCTTACGTAATATTCTTAGTTTTATTTTTTTATCTTGTTGAGTGGTGGAGTTTTGAACTTAAGCTTCAATTTGACGGTTTCTATTAAGAACGCTCGTTGTACCAATGCCATCTTGTGTGACGTGATAGAATAATAACGCTAGCAGACTCACGCTCTACACATTTTTTATTATGGGAGAAAGGCCGTGTGATGGTCATGGGCGTAGCCAGAGTTTTGTTATGGGGGTCCTAGTGGAGGCCAACCTGACACAAAATTGAATTATTTCAAATTATTGTTCATTATTGGGCACCGAGCAAGCCGTTCACCTTTTTTCAGTATTCAAAACTTTTATTTTAGCTTTAGGTGTTTACAAATCGACTCAACACTTTTTCGGCTGTGATTTCCTGGGGGGG